TATAATTTACAAATTTTTTTTTTTTTGCTCTCATTTTTTATGTTTAATACATCCTTTCAGAATAAACTTTTTGTCAAACAAAAATAAAATCTTACTGAGACCAAACTTTTAACAGTAGTGTAATTGAAGTTGTATTTATTTGTTTATTTAGTATCATTGTTTTAATTGTTTACATTATTTATTATTTTTGTCTGACTTGTGTATCTACGTCTTTTCCATCAGTCTGGAATTTCGGATTCAGAAGGATCAGAGGTATGTTAAGAGATCATAGCCACTGCTTTTTACAGATGAGCTAAAATCAAAAGCTCAGTGATATGCAATATAGGCATCGGTCTTGTTTTCATTTACTCGTTTCATTCATGTTGTCTTGTTTTTGTGAAACGCAAGTGAAGGTTGTGCTTCACGGACTAAAGAAAATACAGGGTTTGAGAATGGAGATGAGTAAATGATGACAATGTTTGTTTTTGGGTGAACTGTCTCTTTAAGACAAAAGTTGATTAGTAAAATCTGATAGAACAGACGGGTCTTTAGGTTGCAGTCACATTCTGTTATGCACATTAAAGCCTAATTTACCCATTAATTCTGACCAGATAATTTAATGTAGCGCTAAAGCTTTAAAAAGAATCAAAAGCTTTTACTTCTACAGCTGGGATTTGGGCCTTAATTAATTCCTGTATCCAACCAAGAGCAGTGAATCTGAATAAGAGCATGAGTGAGGAATGAAATGTATAGGTTCTCTCTATTCATATAGTAAATATAGTTAGTCTTAAATGCAGGTTAAAATATATTGATTAATTCCATACAAATGCTATATTTTTAATTGGAGGTGAGTACTCTGTGTGATGCGTCCTGTGGAGTTTGTGTTCTAGACTCCAGCTGTGATGTTAAAGGAACACTCCACTATTTTTGAAAATAGGATCATTTTCCAATCCTTGATTATTACGCCGGAATGAGAGTATAGTTCCTAGCCATATCGGCCTAGAAAATCGCAACTTTTCATTTTCCGTCGGTCTTAGTACATGATGTAACTACAGAAGAGTCAAGTTTTAAGTAGGAAAAATATAGAAACTCTTTGGTCTTTTTTGAGCGAGATGCTAACGGTCTAATCAGATTCAATTATCTATGCTAAGCTAAGCTAAAAGTGCTATCGCCAGACCGGGAGATCGGCTGAATGGATTCGAAAACGGTAAAACTCAACTGTTTAACTCTAGGGGAGTTGGAAAATGAGCCTATTTTCAAAAATAGTGGAGTGTTCCTTTAATGATTGCAGCTGGGTTAACATCAGCATCATTGCATAATGCAGGCTAATCAAAACGCAGCGATACATACTAAGTGAACTGCAGAGTTACAGTATGAAAGATCTGGAAAGTTCACTGAATAGAAATTACTTTTAAAATCATACTGTAGTGGTGAATTCACTAAACAATTGATGCACGTTTGCACACTTTTTTTGTTTGTGCATTTATAGGAATAGTTTACCCAAAAATCTAAATTTGCTGAAAATGTACTCCCCCTCAGGCCATCCAAGATGTGGATTAGTTTGTTTCGTATTAGAACAGATTTAGATAAATTTTGTATCACTTGCTCACCAATGGCTTCTCTTCAGTGAATGGGTGCCATCAGAATGAGAGTCCAAACAGCTGATAAAAACATCACAATAATCCACAAGTAATCGACACAATTTCAGTCCATTAATTAATGGATTGTGACGTAAAAAGCTGCATGTTTGTAAGAAAAACATCCATCATTAAGGCATTTTAACATTAACATAATCCATAATAACATTTCCTCCAGTTATCACAAATCAGTTATCCTTTTATCAGCTGTTTGGAGACTCATTCTGACGGCACCCATTCACTGCAGAGGATCAATTGGTGAGCAAGTGATGTAATGTGATTTTTAGCAGGTTGGTGTTTCAAATTGGTGGCACACTGGACTGTAATTTGAAAATGTTTGTTATATTTTTATTTGTAGATTGAAACAAAGAAAAGGAGAATAAGGTTGGTTTTGTAAAGAAAAAAGTGAACCCATTTGACTTTAGTGGCTTATTGTGTGTTGTGAAACCCTGTTGGTTGTATACCTTTCATTAGTTTGTATCATGTGCTCCTGTGATTATGGTTTAGATTGTGGTTACCCTGTTGCAACGTTTTTCAATCATGGACGATCTTTTATTCCCATAATTTCCTGTCCTTCCCTCAGTATTGTATGAAAAAGTGGTCAAATAATGATAGTTAAATAAAGATTAGAATTGGGACGATGCTGTCACGTGTCAATCAAAAGAACTGAAATAAAACAGTAGCAGTTTTAGGCTTAGCAGGCACTCTTCTAGTGACTGCACCTACAGTGTTAGTGCTTTGCTGTGTGTATTGTGTTATTGTGTCCAGGCATTTTTAAAGCCAGACATGTGCAGACATTTTTCAATGAATTCTGCATTTTTAAGATGACTCTGTGAAGTGATGACAAATATTCTGCTGTCCTTGAGTCAGGTGTTGCTAGGTGTTGCCGTCAGTGCTCATGGTAATGTTCTTTAGCAATGAACTTTTTGACTGGTATGTTGGTGTGTGTGTGGGGAAAAATAAATAAATGTATAGATAATGATAAGTAGCATCACAATTAATACCCAGGGCAGTACTGTTTGGTTAAAAAAAAAATCCTACAAGCAACTAATACTATAATGTTTATATGTTATATGAACATACACTAGCATTCAAAAGTTTGGAGTCAGTTTTTTTTAACATTTTGACATATTTAAACATCAAAGATGTTCTGATTGCTGTCATTGTCACATCGCACAGCAGTTTTTGCATTCTGGTTGTCGTGGTTATAGGCAAATTTTTTTAATCCACTCTGTCTAGCTGTTTTTAATGCACAAACGCATCCTATGTGAATGGCCCCTTGAGTATTCGGCTGCTCCTGTTCAAAATTTCAGCTTCCTTCTCTATTTCACTCTCTCACCCCCTACCATTCATCCATCTGTTACTGACTCTTGTTTTTACCATCTCTCCTTTCATCTGGATGTACAGCTTGACAGGCAGAAGGTAGGTTTGTGTGAGCTAAATGCTTTAGTTTGATGTATGACAGTCGTAGTGAAGTAGTCAGTGTCATCGTATCAGATGCTTTGAGCCGATGAATCAAATATTTAGGGAGCCAGTTTTTTCTTTTCAATTTAACTTCTTCCTCTTATTACCCAGTAGAATTATTTATCTAGATTCCTCTTTACTTCCCTTCAATTTTGTGTGTGGAATATATTGTGTTGTTTGAGTTCATCTATGTGCGTATTTGCATTTAGTAGCTCTTTAAACTTTTTCTCTGTTTGTTTTCATTCTTATTGTCTTTTTGTTCATTCTTTCTTTCTGCAGTCTGTTGCTAAGAAAGAAAAGGTGTGTGCATTTCCAGTATTTTCAGTAGTACTTTACTTAAAGCTTGTGTGTGTGTGTGTGTGTGTGTATATATATATACTGTATATATATATATATATACTGTATATATATATATATATATATATATATAATGCACCTAATGTCTGTAGTGTTCACAGCCCTGGGGATGAGTATGAGAACTCTGAAGTGACAGCAATAATCGATCAAAAGAAACTAGATGGAGTGCAGCTAAAAGGCATGAAATAGAACGGAAAGTCTTGAGGTGACTTTTTAAAACTTTAACTAGTTCTAACCTGGCACACCATACTACTAACATAGTGCTTGTGCCGCAAGATGCTGGGGGAAAAAAAACAAAAACATTACGCTGCATGTAGCTCATAGACCAACAATTAAAAAATTGTGTGGAAGAAAGCAGCTTCATTATTTTGAAGTGAAAAGTTCAAGTTAGACAAATGGAGTAAGATGCCCCTCACAGAATTGAGGCAGATGGTCCTCAGTTGCATGTTTTTGCTAGTGTTTTATAGTTTCTTTTTATGTTTGTTACAGATTATTGAGATTGTGTTATTTGATAATTCCATGTATGAGATACATTGCAAACATAAACTTTATTTATCATAACCTAGGCCAGTTGGGTGGAATTATTAAACCTGAATTTATGGTTTCTTTCGATTAAAATTATGGTATAGTATAATAGAGATATAATAGAGATATAGCTCTCAAATACCTAAATTGTCAAAATGCATAATTATACATATAATACACTAACATATAAGTTCGGGGTCAGTAAGAAATTAATACTTTTATTCACACTGAATCAATCAAAGGAGACAGTATAGACATTAAGAATGTTACAAAAAAGTTGTTTAAAATAATAAATAGATTTGACCTGAAAAAAATGTATCATGGTAAGCAGCACAACTGTTTTCATCATTGATAAGAATAAGAACTGAGTTCCCTTCTTCGGTGAGTTCTTGAGCATCAAATCAGCATATTAGAATCATTTCTGAAGGATCACGTGACAGTGAAGACTGGAGTAATGACTGCTGTAATTTAAACTTACATTTTAAATTAAAATAGAAAACAGTTATTTTAAATTGTCACAAGTTATCACAATATTACTGTTTTTATTGTATTTTTAATCAAATAAATGCAGCCTTGGTGATCATAGAGAGATATCTTTCAAAAACATTTAAAAATCTTACTGACCCCAAACTTTTGGACATTAATGTACAGTATTTGATTTAGTATTTTTATATATGCATATATTATGTATATTTTTACATAGTCATTAAAAATGTAAACACATTTTGCTTCCTGCCCCAGGATCATCTTTATGATGTTAATGTTATGCTATAACAACTAAAATAGCAAATGTTTGCATTTATTTCCCTTAATGTCTTGAATAATACATCATAATTATGTGCTCATTTTCATTCAGCCTATTCAGTGCTTATAGTTTCTGTCTTGTGTGTTATTTGTGTATGTCTATGTTTCTTCATTCATGTGTTTGTTTCCATGTTCTGGCATCAGGGGGAAAAGAAGGACAAAGAGAAGGAGGTTTGTGTGCAGTGCACGCACGCACGCACACACACACACACACACACACACATACACACACACTGTTTGTCTGTGGTAGTGTTGCCCCATAGTCTCTGGATCAACAGGACTCTGTGTGATATTGAATGTAATTTTGTTTCTCTGTCTCAAGGATGAGAACATGAACACAGAGGTGGGTGATGGAGCTGAGGTAATAAGCTGATGCACATCTGTGTGTGTGTGGTACTTTCTGAAACATGATAGAACAAGGTCTCATTAGTGTGAGGAGCAAGCGTGTGCATAAAATCTGCTGGGAAGGAGAGATGTGTGCTGTTTGGCTGTGATCCTGTCCCCATACCTCATTGTCAGAGTGTTGTTTTTAGGTGGAATAGGATTCTTGTGCCCTGATTTGACACAAAAACAATTACCCATAATTCAAAGCTTAAATAATGATGTGCCTTAGGCAAATGATATGATTTAGTTGTTGTCAGTGAATAAATGATCATTGTTTTGGTAAACACAATAACAGATGCTTATTAAACTTTTTTCTTCTATCTTGGAGTGTTTTTCTAGAGCATAAGTCTAGAACACTCATTAGGACAATCCATGTGTTTTATGGGTAGTTTAAGGTAGGCATGTGTTGCCAGGCTTTTGACTGAAGTCTGGTCAACTTTGCTACTTATTTTGGAAGTGCGGATCATTTTAATGACTTGAATCTTTGGATCTTTTTAGTAAAATAAACGAATCCTTTTTCCAAGTAATTTTGTGTAGTTAATTTAAAATGTAAAATTTTCAATAGCCAAAATCCACACAAACCATGCACATATGCAATCTTTAATCATATTCTGAATTAGAAAATCATTATAATGCAACCAAAAGATAAATACTTCTGCGTCTTTTGGTATGAATCTTTAATTCGTCATGTGACAGACACATAGACACTGTACAGGAAACAAAAAGCATTCATTCACCAAACTACGTATTTGTATCACAGTCATATGTTAAGGACTGAAAAGATGAACATGCACGGTCACAACAAAATGAACAAATTATTCATTATTTCAGAGTCATATAAAAATAATTCAAAATGAAAAAATCATTCTTGACCGACCCATTACTTACCAAAACCACCCACTTAATGTAATGTACTGAAATTTCAGCTTTGCCATCACAGGAATAAATTACATTTTAAAATACATTAAAATAAAAAATGTTACTTTTAAATTGCAAAAATATTTCACAATATTACTGTTTTACTGTATTTTTGATCAAATTAATGCATCCTTGGTGAGCATGAGAGACTTTCAAAAACCTCTTTACAGAATCTTACCGAAACCAAACTTTTGAACATACTTTGTTTCACGTGTTTCACATTATTTTATAACTGAGCTGACACCTGCAGTTTTGTGGACTTAACTGAATTCACAAATCAGCACTGTGTGAACATAATCACACTAATCAGGTTTTCCATCACTTAATACACATTACACAATATGATAGCCAGTAAGACTCACACACAATTTTTTTCATGTGTTATTTCGCTAACTCTGAGAGATGGTGATATGAGCTGTGTCCATCTGGAGCTTTAAGATCCAGTCACTATTGGACTTCAGTTTATTCAACTTTGTGTCCGCTGTGATGAGTAAATACAGTTGTCAATGCCAAACACTGATTGTGTGAATGTAATGTTTCTGTATTTATCTCAATTCTAACATTCAGAAGCATCAGTGCCATTGAGGATTTGCTCAGCTGTATCATTTTTCTCTCTGTGCCTTTTCTTTTGTTTCCCCATGTTATTTTCACTCTGTCCCTCGGTAGAAAGAGGCAAGAGGCGACAAAAAAAAGGTGCGCTAATCATCATGGGTGTATGTGAGTGTGTGTGTGTGTATGTGTGAGTGAGACTGTCGTGTTGTTTTGCTAGAAGCCTGGCTATCTCTTCTCTCCTCTTGAGACTTTCCCCATCACTGTGATAGCATAGTGCAAATAAACGTTTCAGAAAAACATGCATTTCTGATCAGTTCTGTGCATTCATTGGCCTAAGTGCAAGTCCACAAGAACAGTGGAGATCCAAATTAGAGAACAATTCAATACATTTTCATAAATTTCAAGGTCACTGTTTAGTCCTATTTGAAGTTATCCTAACAGGAAAAGAAGGGCGGTTTTAAAGCATATTTCATAAATTAATTGTATTCTGAAGCACAGTATAAAAACCTTAAATGAGATATTTGAAAATGAACTCTGATCAAAATTAGAGAACACTTACAGATACCTCCAAGTAATTGGTGTTAATCTGGCTCCTGGTGCTAATTTCCTTAATTAAATGACAAACCCTATTTAACTGGCAGCAATCCTCCAATTTTCAATGAAATTGCAGCTCTAGATCATCTCCCCTATTCCAAAGGAAGGAAAAGACAAATTAGATTGTGGCTCATATAGGCCTATTTCAGTCTTGAATGTTGACTATAAGTTATATACAGCAATATTGACTAGGAGAATAGAAAAACTACTTCCAGAGTTAATTCATAACGACCAGACAGGGTTCATTTTACAGAGACAAACACAGGATAGTGTCAGACGTACACTACATATATTAAAACATATAGAAGAGAGTAACATACAAGCAATGATACTGAGTCTTGATGCGGAAAAAGCCTTTGACTCGGTCAGATGGTCATATCTATACATAGTTTTAGAACATTTTGGCTTTCATAAAAATATCCTTAAAGCCATACAGTTATTATATTCCAGACCACAAGCTAGAATTAAAGTGAATGGTAGTTTGTCAAATTTTTGTAATCTGGAAAGAGGCACGAGACAAGGGTGCCCTCTTTCTCCCCTCCTCTTTTCACTATACATTGAACCCCTTAGTCAGTGGATACGCCAGAATCATGATATTAGGGGGATAAAGATGGGTGAAGAAGAACATAAAATTGCATTATTTGCAGATGATGTTTTAATATATTTGAGAGACCCTGAGATATCATTTTTAACCCTTATGTCAACTTTAGATACATTTGGTTCTTTATCAGGATACAAAGTAAATGTGCAAAAAACACAGGTCATTTGCTACAATTTCACTCCCCCAGAAGAAACAAGGGTTAAATACAAGATTAAATATAATACAGAGGTAATAAAATATTTAGGAATACATCTGCCAAAGGATACTAGAACTTTGTCAGATGTAAATTATAGAATTCTAAATGCTAAGCTACGAGCAGACATTCAGAGATGGAACGTCATCCCTTTCTTGAATTTAGGGGATAGAGTGGATATTATCAAAATAAATATGCTCCCAAGGCTTTTATACTTATTTCAGACACTTCCCCTAAAGGTTCCAGAAGAACAATTTAAAGATTGGGACAAATGGATTATAAGGTTTATCTGGCAAGGTAAAAAATCCAGAATTCGATATAGAACACTCCAGTTACCAAAAGAAAGGGGAGGCTTGGCTCTCCCATCTCTTAAAGACTATTTTATAGCTGCCCAGTTAAGACCTATAGTTTGCTGGTGCAATCCAGACTATAAAGCTAGATGGAAACAGATTGATTTCTCCTTCTTTAATTCGTCATGTGACAGACACATAGACACTGTACAGGAAACAAAAAGCATTCATTCACCAAACTACGTATTTGTATCACAGTCATATGTTAAGGACTGAAAAGATGAACATGCACGGTCACAACAAAATGAACAAATTATTCATTATTTCAGAGTCATATAAAAATAATTCAAAATGAAAAAATCATTCTTGACCGACCCATTACTTACCAAAACCACCCACTTAATGTAATGTACTGAAATTTCAGCTTTGCCATCACAGGAATAAATTACATTTTAAAATACATTAAAATAAAAAATGTTACTTTTAAATTGCAAAAATATTTCACAATATTACTGTTTTACTGTATTTTTGATCAAATTAATGCATCCTTGGTGAGCATGAGAGACTTTCAAAAACCTCTTTACAGAATCTTACCGAAACCAAACTTTTGAACATACTTTGTTTCACGTGTTTCACATTATTTTATAACTGAGCTGACACCTGCAGTTTTGTGGACTTAACTGAATTCACAAATCAGCACTGTGTGAACATAATCACACTAATCAGGTTTTCCATCACTTAATACACATTACACAATATGATAGCCAGTAAGACTCACACACAATTTTTTTCATGTGTTATTTCGCTAACTCTGAGAGATGGTGATATGAGCTGTGTCCATCTGGAGCTTTAAGATCCAGTCACTATTGGACTTCAGTTTATTCAACTTTGTGTCCGCTGTGATGAGTAAATACAGTTGTCAATGCCAAACACTGATTGTGTGAATGTAATGTTTCTGTATTTATCTCAATTCTAACATTCAGAAGCATCAGTGCCATTGAGGATTTGCTCAGCTGTATCATTTTTCTCTCTGTGCCTTTTCTTTTGTTTCCCCATGTTATTTTCACTCTGTCCCTCGGTAGAAAGAGGCAAGAGGCGACAAAAAAAAGGTGCGCTAATCATCATGGGTGTATGTGAGTGTGTGTGTGTGTATGTGTGAGTGAGACTGTCGTGTTGTTTTGCTAGAAGCCTGGCTATCTCTTCTCTCCTCTTGAGACTTTCCCCATCACTGTGATAGCATAGTGCAAATAAACGTTTCAGAAAAACATGCATTTATGATCAGTTCTGTGCATTCATTGGCCTAAGTGCAAGTCCACAAGAACAGTGGAGATCCAAATTAGAGAACAATTCAATACATTTTCATAAATTTCAAGGTCACTGTTTAGTCCTATTTGAAGTTATCCTAACAGGAAAAGAAGGGCGGTTTTAAAGCATATTTCATAAATTAATTGTATTCTGAAGCACAGTATAAAAACCTTAAATTAGATATTTGAAAATGAACTCTGATCAAAATTAGAGAACACTTACAGATACCTCCAAGTAATTGGTGTTAATCTGGCTCCTGGTGCTAATTTCCTTAATTAAATGACAAACCCTATTTAACTGGCAGCAATCCTCCAATTTTCAATGAAATTGCAAGATGGCGGGCCGCTCTAAGGTGACTGAAAGCCTGCGACAGGAGGTTGTCCAGATGAAGGCTAAAGGGATGACCCTTTTAGCCATTGCAAGAGAAGTTGGTCGTTCCAAATCTGTGATTTCTCAAATATAGCAGCTTTGCAATTACACTAATTCAACTCCCTCCACCCCCCAAAAGGCTGGACTTCAACATAAGATAAATGTACGAGAGGACAGGATAATGCGGAGACTCTCAATGGGGAATCGGTTCAACACTGCAGCTGGAATTGCTTGCCAGTTCAGCGCTGAACAGGGTATGGATCTGTCTCTGCACATTTAAGATAAGTCGGACCGAAAGCGCATTCTGCAGTTACCAAGCCTCTCATCAGCAGAAATAATCAAAAGGCTAGACTAACCTTTGCTTAAGAGCATGTTGTATGGACAGAGGAGAACTGGTCCAAAGTTCAAACTGGGAAAGACTGAAGCCCAAGTGCGTAAAAAATCAGTGAAAGGTTGAGGAGGAAGTGTCATGGTTTGAGGGAGTTGGACCTCTTATACAGACACATGGCAGGGTCAATGCAGATGTTTATCAGAACCTCCTTCAGAGACATGCAGTACCTTCCCTGGAAGCATCTGCCAATCAGCCTGTAATTTTCCTGCAAGACAATGCCCCCGTCACACTGCAAAACAGATAAAGCAGTTCCTTGAAGCTAAGAACATTGAAATAATGAAATGATGTAAACCCAACTGAAAATCTCTGGAAAATCCTTGGCAACAAAATTATGACTAAGAAACCCACTAGAGTTACCAACTATGGAAGAGACCAAGATCACACCAGCGCAGTGTGAGAAACTAGTGATATCCTGCGGCCACAGATGTGCTGAAGTCACTCAAAGCAAGGGCTCCACAATTTCCACTAATTTCTGACGTCTGTAACCCTCCAAAATATGAGTTGCAATCTTCTTTCGTGCCACAGTGGTTACTGTTCTCTAATTTTGATCACTGTGTTTTCCACAAAATAAAGGTTTTTGTTAAAATGCCTCTGTTATTTTGTCAAACATGTTAGTATAACAGTGGTATACCCACAGCCAATATTCCTTCAAATTTTGAGCGATGAAGATTAACAATTGTAAGGTCCACCCAATTGGCCCAATGAAGGTATCCAATGGTGGCTGAAGATTTCCTGTGTGTTCGGCCTTTTCCGTGCGCTGAGTAATTTAATTTCATTTAAATTTTAATCGGACTCCATTTTATTATGACCTCGAATTTAGGTTGTCATACGAATTGGTTGTTTGTCCATTTCTAATTATTGTTATTCTGACACTTGATTATTCTAGTTAACCCTTTACTTTATATTTTACTTGTTCATTAGGAATCTAAAATTTCCAAATAATTTTTGGGACCACGTTCTTGTGTAAATAAGGGATAAAGATGTTATTGTTCTGTAGTTTTAAAGTTGTATTGGTGCTTTCTGTCCGTAAGCTAGAAGACAGAAAGCAAACAAACCCTACTTAAAAGTTTTCTCTGTTCTACCACCCTGCTTGTTAGAATCAAATCTACATCCCTTACTGTCGATATTGTGTGATGTTTTAATTGTCCTTCCTCAGCAGTATTAAACTGAATAAACAAATGTTATCGTTCATTATGGGAATGAAATCATAACTCCTCCACTCTTTGTTTTGTTTTGGTTTTTTTACACCTGCTTTAATTAAGCTGTTGTTGGATCTGACAGATGTATTGCTCAACACTTTTCTTACTGTGGAAAAACAGCTTTAATAGAGAATGTTTCCAATTTTGTTTCACTTCCCTGATGCTGATGCACTTGCAGAACCATGACAGACATTGTGATTTTTTCTCCCTACATTCTCTCCTTTCCTTTCCGCGCCTCTGCCTAGTTTAAGTTCGATATATTCTATTAAACTAACACTTCTTTCCGTGTGTGTGTGTGTGTGTGTGTGCATGTTACTCTCAACAGCTCGACTCAGAGGCTGCAGATATCCTCAAGTGATGTTCAATGTTAGACACCTAAAAACTCATTTCATGACACAAACAGTACTATGATTCTCTGTCCCTGCTCTCAGAACACCATATCATTATCAATGTTTTTATTATTGTTATTTCAATTGTCAGTGTTAGTATACTATCTAACGACTATATCAACGACTATAGTACTCAATCACTCAGAAGTGACGGCGATGATCAATCATGAAAACACAATAATTTAATAACTTTTCCTCAATTTCCTGACTTTTCCTTTTGTGTTATTTTTATTTTTTATTTTTTTCAGTTTTTATTTTAAATTTGTTTTATTGTAGCATTTTGCATTCGCAAAAAAAGAGATTGTGACAAAAGTGACGTGCCAGTGGTGATTGATCATGAACAATGGAAACAATAATTCCATAACTTTTCCTCAAAATCAAAACATGCCAAAAAAAGAGCCTTTGTTTTATTTGATCATGTTTTTGTTTTAAATTTATTTTATTTTATTTTTTTAAATGAGCCTCATCTTTAATTTTTTTGACAGTCATTTTCTAACTGGTGGTCACTTGTGGTCTGATTTGTCATGACTGCAATTTCTGCAGTGTTTTAAAGTTAAAACTATTTTTAATTTGAGATGGCATCTGCGCTGCTTATGGCAAATTGTTGAAATAAGGAGAAAAATGTCTTGTACTAGAGTATACAACATGACCATAATGGCCTTTCTGAAGTTAACACGCTTTTGACATTTAGACGGTTAATAATATAATGCTTCTTTTTTTTTATAATACTGGCAGGCAGAGGTTTGAAATACTGTTTTTCTTTCTTTTTTAGGGAGCTCAACTTCTTACTGCTGCTAAGGAACTGTCTAAACTAAAGGTATTAACTATAATTACTTGAAACATGTAATCTGTAGCCTAAGGCAGTGGGTGTGGCTAATGCGTCTCTCATTATAGGGAGGGGTGGAGCCAAAAAGCTTGTCACCAAGGCAATGTGTGATCGTGGAGACAGCACTGGATTCAATCAAGGTGTGTTGGTGGATATGGCATGCCTGCTGAGTTACAACACGTTAAATTGTTGGCTGTCTGCTTAAAAACAGAACTGTCACACCAAGTCAACACATTGCACACTGAGTGTTTGGGTTCTTGGGATCGGTGCGTCATTAAAGTGTGTGGGAAGGAGAGAGAATCTGAAACAGTCTTGAGAAAGCTGCTCACCACAAGCATGCCTTTTCACACGTAATAACATTGTCAGACAAAATAAGTTACTGTGAACTGTAGTACCTTTTGCAGAAGGAAATTCATGCTAATTTTCTCTCTCTCTCTCTCTCTCTCTTTAACCTGCTACTGGGTAGCTCTTCTTCCATGCTGGTGGGAACGGTTTAAAAAAAGCATACCTCTCTCTCTCTCTCTCTCTCTCTCTCTCTCTCTCGCTCTCTCTTTAACCTGCTACTGGGTAGCTCTTCTTCCATGCTGGTGGGAACGGTTTAAAAAAAGCGTACCTGGAGAAGAGCCCTGAGCTATCATCGCTGCGTTATGCTCTCTCCCTATACACACAGACCACAGATGCTCTTATCAAGGCGTTTGTGACAACACAACATGCTCAGGGTGAGATACATACACTTGCACACATGTTCAGGTGCTGACTTTTATCAACCCTTGCACATGGCCACACAATCTCTGTATAAATTATTTGACATTTGCATGACTCATATATTTTTTTTAATTAAAATCTTCTTGCAGTTCAAAATGGTATGGGCATCAGGATCACCCCCAAGGAGAACGTTCGACCTGACAGAGGTGGGCCGAAGATTCGTTCATCCTTGACTCTTTGAAGGGCTAGGAATAGTCTCTCTCTCTCTCTCTATAGTGAATTATAATGTAGAAATAAGGAAATGAAGGGGAAAACAGAATAGATAAATAAAATAATGTAAAAAATAATTTAATAATATATTTTGATAATAAATTGAATAAAAATATGTTTATATACACAATGCATATGTCAGTAAGATTTAGTGTTTTTGTGAGCGTAGTGCCTTATGTTATAAAGGCTGCATTTATTTAATAAAAAAATACAGTAAAAGCAGTAATATTGTTTAATGTAGTGTAATTTATTCCTGCGATAGCAAAGCTGAATTTTCAGCAGCCATTACTTTTACCATCACATTTGCGGCTCAAGAAACATTTCTTCTTATTATAAGTGTTAAAAACGGTCGTGTCTTATTATTATAATTGTTGTTGTTTTTTTAAATCGTGATATTTTTTTTTTTTTTCACATTTAAAAAAAAGCAGCATTTGTTTAAAATAAATCTTTTGTAACATTTTGTGAACAGTAGTGTGTGTGTGTGTTTAGGAAAGTGTGGCACAAAATTATTTTTCAAAATTGACTCTCTAATGCCTTTGAAATTTTTAGCATTTTAGGAAAAATGCATTTCTGTTCGAAGTTCCTCTGCACATTACATAATTATTTATTAAATATTTTGGGTAATATAATAACGCCGAAGCTACCACTGGCACATTTTATAAAATTTTATTAAAATCCATTCAATAGAATTCCACATTTTTAACCACAATCAAAGCATAAAGTGTAAAAAAAAATGCATATGTTTGACTGTAATATGTTGAAAATACAGTATTTGTAAAATGAAATGGTTTGATTGACAGGCTCTGGGGTTGAGCGGCTGATTGGGGAGGCAGTGATTCAGCTGGATTTGTCGCCCCCAGCTGGAAACACTGAGCAGAAACTCTGTGTCAGAGGTGAGACTACAGCAAAGAGGAGCTAAATTTAAGACTTATATCTGTGCATTTAAGTGTCTGGTGAGATAATGATGATTTAATCAAGTCTTGATGCTGAAAAAAACCCTGGTGTCTTTTTATGAACTCTTTATCTCTTTCTCTTCCAGTGATTGCGGTAAATGACATGAAATGGCAGACCTCCGGGATGTTTCGTCCATTTGTGGAGGTTAACCTGGTCGGCCCACAGCTCACAGAGAAGAAACGAAAATTCACAACCAAATCGAAAAACAACAGCTGGACTGCAAAGTACAACGAGGCCTTTCAATTGTGAGTAAAAACGCTCTCATCTATTAAATATGTGGTTTGAAACACCAACATTTTCTATAAGATAAATACTAGTACTTACTGGCAGTTAAACTTTTATTTTTCTAAAAATGTAAACAAAAAAAAACATATTACTGAGAATGGTCCACTCATTTGTGCATTTCCCCTCCTTTATTTTAATCTCAGTGTGTTGGGTAAAGGCGTGAGTCTGGACTGCTATGAGATTCAAATAACGGTAAAGGATTATTGTTTCGGTCGTGCGGATCGGGTGGTCGGGATCGCAGTACTGCAGCTGCGTGACATAGCAGACCGGAAAAGCTGCGTGTGCTGGTGCCCCTTGGGCCCGCGTATCAACATTGATGAAACCGGGACCACTGCACTACGAATCCTCTCTCAACGCTCAACTGATGAGGTTGCCAAAGAGTTTGTCAAACTAAAATCTGAGACCAGGCATGCTGAAGAAGGGAGGTGAAGATGAAACTCAAGGTTGACCTTATCATTAGGATTAAAGTGGACTGATTTAAACAGAAGAAACTTAGAATACGAGACAAAGGAAAAGACTGACAGACAAACAAGCGTTCACAAACCAATCACACAAGGACCTACACTGTTTATAAAATTGTGTATGTTTATTCAAAGCCTTAAGAGTCACTTAACTGTTTTACTGGATTTGCATCACTCCTCATGATAGGGAGTGCTAGCATTGAGAATAGCGTTCCCACGGTCATGGAAAATCTGGAAATATCAAGGAAAAATTATGGAAATTAATTAAGTCTTAAAAAGTCATTACTAAAATATTTAATTGGCTAGTAATCTCTGCATTTGTGTTTTACAAAAATGATCTAGTTAACCAAACAACTTGAA